GTGGAAGACATGAAAAGCCTAGCTAGCTGTCTTCGATCATAGGTGCCTGCGCTCTATCTCCCGTGTGAAGTGGTATAATAAGGTGAGCAATATTGAGGTTAGGCGTCGGTCGAGTGTTAGGTAAGGTGGGAGGGGGAAATCAGTCGACGAGGCTGTGAAGCTACATCGACTGAGATGGTTAGGAAATGTGTTACGCATGCATGCGTAGTCATCCATTGCCTTCCTCGACTACGGGGTAATGTTAGCTGACATAGGGTCAGGCTGGAAAAGAGCTAGCGGCCGTCAAACCAAAACATGGCCCCAGTCAATGAAATCCACAACAATTAGCTTAAGCCAGCCACGTAGGAAGGTGTAGACTGCTGTCTGGTTGGGGTCCTCGGGACGGTATAAACCAATGAAGGCTGGAGACAATTGATGATATGGCTCAAAATCGTTCTCGGTGATGGCTAGCGCAGATGCATCCACTCCTTCTGACTTATGATGAAACTATATCGTTCTTCGTTATTACTATTCCTTTGTCTCACACCTCTGTTTACTGTCTCTATTATGCATTTCTTCTACTTTCTTCTCTTGCTGTCGCGTCACCTGACAACTCCAGTAGGTCAAATAAAGCAGCTCAATTTTCAGAAAGAAGACAAAGCAATAAGTTCGACAGGGTGCTTCAACTAAACTCTAATCCTAAACACCATAACTTTGAAAATACATCTAATCATAAAATTCTAGCTACTAACAGTTTGAACAGACATGAAGGTGTGATGTGTGTTAGCTAATGATACATAGGAAATCCTGATTAATAAATAAATAGAAATTGGATATGTATCACTAATTAATTAATAATACTTGGTCAAAATTCCCGATTGTCTATATCTTCTTATGGAGACGTTAAGAAATGTCTTACAACCATTTACCCACACACACACACACACACTCTGTTTAAAGTGTTTAAGAAAGGTAGACCAATATTTATAAGAGGTCTAAGGTGAAATTTTGATCACAACTCATTCAATTTTCTGTTGATTATACATGTTGATACCTGTTTCTTGACTCATATGATTGGAAATAGTTTTTGAAAACAACAGATGTCCCCCTTTCATGTATATAAATCACCTCTGTTATGTTAATTTCGATTAATTTCCGTGAAGAAGTTCGGACTAGATTTCGACGAAGGCAGGAAACGTTGGAATTACTGATTTCCATCTCGCTGAGATTTTACAAATATAATTTTTTTTTACAAATGATTGAGTTTCGTGCTGAGTCAGTGGAATGAGTTCTCAATTCTCCTGCTAGTCACCATCCACCAATTAAATACTCGATACCCCTAGTTAAGATTTATTGTTCTCAGCGTAATTTTGTTTTTTGTGTGATAAATTGTAGTGTCACTACTACTGTTATAGAGTAAATCTCACTTCATATTTTTCTTTTTGTTTCCTGAATTTTTATTCTTCGGTTAAATTTTCACAGCTTTATGAACTGCCTGCTTCTCAGCCAATATGTAATATTTTATCAGATTTCTTAGAAAGTTCTGAGGCGGAAATGATTAAATCGGAATCAACTCGTGAAATAAACAACTATACTTCTTCTGAATCTGAGAACACTCAACTGAGCACTAACGTACCAATAGACCCGGGTGTACGGCGTGAATTTGTTTATGGAATTCAGTATCTTTTCAATCATACTATTGGTTCTCATCTTTTATACAAATTCGAGAGATTACAATACGCTAAGCTATTGAAACAGCATACAGGCAAGAGAATGTCAGACATTTATGGGTCAATTCACTTGTTGAGGTTGTTTGGTAAGTCTTAATGTTCCCTTCTTTATGATGTGTAAAACTTGGGCATTGTGGTGGTAGTAAGTAATTCCATATTAGTTTGCTTATTAGATGTGTCACACAGTCACAGAAACAGTATTAGTATCTGCTGGATGACAAAGTTTCGAACACAATTTACTTATTGTTCATAATCATATCATCAATTATAATCACACGACTTTGAAACTAGAGATTTATGGTGTTCTTTTTTCTCTCCTATTTGTCGTCATTGGGGTAATAGAATTTTCCAGATATCTGGGTGGACAGGTGTTGAATCATTCCTATTACACTTATTTGCCACACCAAAAGTATGGTGGAGGTATGTAGATGACACATTCACTGTCTGTCTGGATTCAACATAGAACTTGGCACCGAAGTGCAGCAGTTCGAGTTGCCACGTTCCAAATAGCACACAAGGTAGACAAGGAGATGAGTGAAGAGAATCAATAGAGTTTGACAAATATAAGAGTGAAACAGAATGGGTAATGGTAGAAAGGAATATGAAAGATTACAGAGACTGAATACATCTGCGCTGGCCATTGACAACGATTTTGAGCCATGTCACCTATTGTCTCCAGCCATTGATTCCTAGAGTCCTGAGGGCCCCAACCCGGAAGTCTGCATCTCCCTACCTGACTCAGTTTAACTGTCAAGGATTTCATGGATTGATGCCATGTTTTTGTTTGGCCACCACTGGCTCTTTTCCAACCTGAACCTATATCAGCTAGCAATGCCCGTCGGGGGAGGCGGTGGTTAGGCATGCGCAGCACGTGACCTAGCCATCTTAGTCTATGTAACTTTATAGCCTCGTCGATTGATTTTCCAATGAAGGCTGGAGACAATTGATGATATTGCTCAAAATCAATGCTTTAAAATGCTTTTTGCAATACTTGCAACAGTCACACCATACTTAGCCATTGTAATAATAACAATTCTATCAACAAACCGTCTAGAAACAGTTAGAATGTATTTTACTTTTAACTTATACCTTTGATAAAGAGAAAATGTTCAGCGGAGAGACTCTTTTCGCCGGCGAATTCATTCACATAGCTAGCTGTAAAATCATATATATATATATATATATATATTGTCGGTGTTGTCTTGCGCATATTTGACATGCATGTCGTCATTATCATTATTATTATTATCATCATCACTATCACTACTATCATTATTTATTTTATTTCTACATTTCCCTACATACTTTCTGACTAATATATCAGGGTAATTATTAAGTTTCAAGGCCTCTCTTATATGTCTCACTTCCTGTCATAGATTTTCCTTGGTACTACTTAGTTTTTGTGCTCTGTTGTCACTTAAACATTTCACCAATCCTATTTTTACTGACATAGGATGGAATGATCGGAAGTCCAAATATCTGTGGGTTTTCTGTAAACACACTAGCGTGTTTAACTTCCCATCTTCTTTTCTTTTTACACTATAATCTAATATTGGCAGTTCCCCTTACTGACTATGCAATTCATCATAAGTCAAATGAATTGCCTCCACCTTGGAGTTAATGTGTTCGAAAAATCTATCTATATCCTCTGTTCTTAGTACAGTGAATGTGTCATCTACATACCTCCACCATACTTTTGGTGTGGCAAATAAGTGTAATAGGAATGATTCAACACCTGTCCACCCAGATATCTGGAAAATTCTATTACCCCAATGACGACAAATAGGAGAGAAAAAAGAACACCATAAATCTCTAGTTTCAAAGTCGTGTGATTATAATTGATGATATGATTATGAACAATAAGTAAATTGTGTTCGAAACTTTGTCATCCAGCAGATACTAATACTGTTTCTGTGACTGTGTGACACATCTAATAAGCAAACTAATATGGAATTACTTACTACCACCACAATGCCCAAGTTTTACACATCATAAAGGAGGGAACATTAAGACTTACCAAACAACCTCAACAAGTGAATTGACCCATAAATGTCTGACATTCTCTTGCCTGTATGCTGTTTCAATAGCTTAGCGTATTGTAATCTCTCGAATTTGTATAAAAGATGAGAACCAATAGTAAGATTGAAAAGATACTGAATTCCAGCAACAAATTCACGCCGTACACCCGGGTCTATTGGTACGTTAGTGCTCAGTTGAGTGTTCTCAGATTCAGAAGAAGTATAGTTGTTTATTTCACGAGTTGATTCCGATTTAATCATTTCCGCCTCAGAACTTTCTAAGAAATCTGATAAAATATTACATATTGGCTGAGAAGCAGGCAGTTCATAAAGCTGTGAAAATTTAACCGAAGAATAAAAATTCAGGAAACAAAAAGAAAAATATGAAGTGAGATTTACTCTATAACAGTAGTAGTGACACTACAATTTATCACACAAAAAACAAAATTACGCTGAGAACAATAAATCTTAACTAGGGGTATCGAGTATTTAATTGGTGGATGGTGACTAGCAGGAGAATTGAGAACTCATTCCACTGACTCAGCACGAAACTCAATCATTTGTAAAAAAAATTATATTTGTAAAATTTCAGCGAGATGGAAATCAGTAATTCCAACGTTTCCTGCCTTCGTCGAAATCTAGTCCGAACTTCTTCACGGAAATTAATCGAAATTAACATAACAGAGGTGATTTATATGCATGAAAGGGGGACATCTGTTGTTTTCAAAAACTATTTCCAATCATATGAGTCAAGAAACAGGTATCAACATGTATAATCAACAGAAAATTGAATGAGTTGTGATCAAAATTTCACCTTAGACCTCTTATAAATATTGGTCTACCTTTCTTAAACACTTTAAACAGAGTGTGTGTGTGTGTGTGGGTAAATGGTTGTAAGACATTTCTTAACGGCTCCATAAGAAGATATAGACAATCGGGAATTTTGACCAAGTATTATTAATTAATTAGTGATACATATCCAATTTCTATTTATTTATTAATCAGGATTTCCTATGTATCATTAGCTAACACACATCACACCTTCATGTCTGTTCAAACTGTTAGTAGCTAGAATTTTATGATTAGATGTATTTTCAAAGTTATGGTGTTTAGGATTAGAGTTTAGTTGAAGCACCCTGTCGAACTTATTGCTTTGTCTTCTTTCTGAAAATTGAGCTGCTTTATTTGACCTACTGGAGTTGTCAGGTGACTCGACAGCAAGAGAAGAAAGTAGAAGAAATGCATAATAGAGACAGTAAACAGAGGTGTGAGACTGTTATGTACTCGTCGCTAAATTATTGTTATGGACTGTAATGTGTCAGAAGCAATTCAGAAGTTAACATAGACTTCAACTTTTCAAAAGCTGATCTGCAAGCTTCGGACCATTTCCAGGTTGCATTCTTTTCGAGTAGTCGATTGAGGGGGTGTCGAACATTATGCAGCGCAGGGAGAAATGCAGAGTAATAGCTAATTAATCCCAAGAAAGAGCGTAAGGAAGGCACATCAGTAGGTGCGGGCATCTCTTTTATAGCACGTATGTTGTCAGGATCTGGACGTCTACCCGATGCATCAAATATAAATCCAAGGTATTTGACAGATCTCAAGGAGAACTGACACTTCTCTGAGCGTAGTCGTAGACCGTTGTCCTGCATGCGTGACAACACAGCTTCTGTCCTGCTGTAAAGTTCGTTTATAGAATTCGCTACCACCAAGATATTATCAAGATAGACGGCAACACCCGGAATACCTGCCAAGATAGTATCCATCAGTTGTTGGAAAATAGCTGGGGCAGTTTTAACTCCGAAAGGTAATCTGTTGTATTGGAACAAACCGCGATGTGTATTAATGGTAAGGAGTTCTCGGCATTCTGGGGCTACTTCCACTTGTAGATATGCGTCAGCAAGGTCCAGTTTTGCAAAATAAGATCCACCATTTAAAACAGTGAATAAATCATCCGGTGTAGGTAAAGGATAGTGGTGCTGTTCTAATGCAGCATTCAACCCAGTAGAGAAATCAGCACAAATACGTAGGGACCCATTCGCTTTCTTGACAACGACGATGGGTGCTGCCCATGCCGAGTACGTGACTGGTGTTAATACGCCTTGTTGTTGCAGTCTCTCCAATTCTTCGTCAACTTTTGGTACCGATGCATATGGAACTGGCCTCTTTGGGCGAAAAACCGGTTTTGCGTCTGGTAATACTCGAAAGGTAGCTTGCAGCGAGGTACAGTGACCTAATCCGGGCTGAAAAACAGGTGCGAATAGTTTGCATAAATCAGAAAAGGAGTTGGCTGAATTTTCATCCTTGTTAACTGCGTTGCATACAGAACTAAGTGGAACATCAGCCAGATGTAAACGATCGAACCAATCAAGTCCCAAAAGATTTAAATCGCTCTTGGTGACGTAACAAATTCCTGTGAATTTGATATCGCGGAAGGAAACAGAACATTCGAGTTCACCAATTAGTTTGAGGCGCCCACCACAGGCGCTGACAGCAGTCTGAGAAGTATTTACGATTGGTGGTCTGCCTATATCATTCCAAAGTTTCTTTGATATAACAGTAATATCAGAGGCGGTATCTAGCTGCAGACGTGCATCATGACCATTCATCTGAAGGTCAAGATATTTCCGCATACATGGAATTATGACTTGACAGGTTGCGAGTAGACTCAATGATCTCCTTGGAGATTCAGGACCAACCGTTTGTTGAGCTTTTGCTGGATTTTGGCATCTGGGTTTGCGTGGCTGACAAAAACCATTTTTATGACCGACGATGTTGCACTTGCTGCAACGATGATTTTTGTACGGACAAGACTTTACAAAGTGCCACGCGCCACAGTGCCAGCATGGTGATGGTGGGGTCTTCTTTGCAGTATTTTGTGAAGTTGGACGAGTATGTGTAGATTTCCGCGGGACATTAAGAGAAGGTGGGTCAGGAGTAGATGATGAGAGATTTTTGCTCTTTCGTAATGCACGAATATCAGAGCTTCTCGGAGGTGTTGATTCGACAAGGTGTGTGTCTTTCTGCAGATTAATCAGCCGTTGATATTCATCAGCTATGTCATGTAATGTTAACTTGGGATTTTGTTCTAGCTGATTGAGCAGTCGAGTTCGGATATCTGTGAAACGAGGAGATTGGAGACTGCATATGAGAATCAAGGCTTTGAATTGATCATCTGTTAAGGACCTGAGTCGAAATCTCTCACATTCTCGGTTGACTGTGCCAATGTGAGTAAGAAAATCATCATTTTCATTCATTGTCAGCTTGAGGAAACGATAACGTATGCTGAATAATGAGGAGTGGTCTCCAAAATGTTCACGCAGCAGCTTTATTGTATCATCGAAACACTTGTCACGTGGTTTCTGGGGTAAAATTAGGTTGCAGTACCGTTCATATTCTGCCGGACCCAATTTACGTAACAGCACTCGCACCTTCCAGGCATCGTCTTGTGAGGCGAGATCAACAGTGAATAAATCCTCATAACGTTGATACCATGTGTCAAAAGTGACATTAGCCTCTGGGTCATAATTGAACTGTGAAATACTGTTCACAATGCCGTCGACAGATGGTAGCATGGTATCATTGGGACTGCTTGAAGGTGAAGCTGGACCAGTCTGTTGGTTGACGAACATTTCCATTAATTTCATTTGTCGTTCAAACAATAATTCCAATTTAGAAGGATCCATAGTAAATTGTTATGTTGTTGCTGCTGTGTGGTTAATAGTAGTTTTTCCCCGTCGCCAAATTGTTATGTACTCGTCGATCGAAGCCGAGGTGTGGATGCCACTCGATGGATGTATATGAACTTTGACAGACGCTTCCACCACACGATCAATAAGGCGTCCAAATTCTTCCAGAAGTATTCGCTCATTTGCCGCTGGAGGTACATCACGACGATCTATTTCTTCAGCCTGGGCCATTATACAAGTAGCTGTTGCCTCAATCACTTCCCAAGTGAAGAATACGTGCGGCAACGTTTCCGATACAGGTTTTAGTAAGTGTTTTTTGAAGGAAGAAGGCTGTCTTGACCTCAAGACTCCCATTGCAGCCAAACGCATAAGGGAGCGCCTCTCTACGCTATCCTCGGTATTGCGACAACCTTGACAGCGACACAGATCTGAACAGCTTATGAAGCAAAGATAAGACCCCAACCAGACAGCAGTCTACACCTTCCTACGTGGCTGGCTTAAGCTAATTGTTGTGGATTTCATTGACTGGGGCCATGTTTTGGTTTGACGGCCGCTAGCTCTTTTCCAGCCTGACCCTATGTCAGCTAACATTACCCCGTAGTCGAGGAAGGCAATGGATGACTACGCATGCATGCGTAACACATTTCCTAACCATCTCAGTCGATGTAGCTTCACAGCCTCGTCGATTGATTTCCCGCTCCCACCTTACCTAACACTCGACCGACGCCTAACCTCAATATTGCTCACCTTATTATACCACTTCACACGGGAGATAGAGCGCAGGCACCTATGATCGAAGACAGCTAGCTAGGCTTTTCATGTCTTCCACTCTCAATGGCCAGGTCTCACAGCCAGCCATAAAGGGAGGACGGAGCGGACTGATGAGCAGTACACCCACCCTTTGGTCGACAGGTAGGCGGATATCACGTCTACGCCAGAGATGGGGTAAACTGGGATATGAGAAACTAACTCTCTGTATCCGTGATGAGATCTCGTCAGAGATCAACCCGTTGGCGTTGGCTGGTGGTACTTCCCAAATAAGTGAAGTGGTCAACGTGCTCTACCACTTCACTCCCTATTTCTAAACTAGGAGTCAGCGTAGTCCAGTCAGTTCTGTAACATCATCTTGCATTTGGCGGGAGCGAATCGCATGCCAATCATTCAAAGACTGCAGCTCAAGGCGTTCAGAAGACTGCATTTTGTCAGCGTCCTCGCCTAGAAGGACTATATCGTCTGCATATTCTAAGTCAACGAGATTGTTCCCTGGTAGCGAGTCAATCCCTGAGTCTCTAAAGTGAGTTAGGTTTAAGTCAATTAGTACATCTATGATGAAATTGAATAAAAGTGGGGATAGTGGGCATCACTGATGGACACCACTAATCGTCACCACTTCAGGTGACAACTCATCGTAAGCCCTCACCTGGCTGACTGCATGAGTTCGAGTAGAGTGCCTTAATGAGTGCAATGTATTTTCTCGGAATTCCCTTTACAGCAACGCAACGCTAAAGTACCTCTCATTCGACAGAATCGAATTCCGCCTTCAGGTCAAGAAATATAGCGATTGTTGGACGCCGCCGGTAAGAATGCCTATGTTCTAGAATCTGTGGGAGGGTGAAGATATGATCAATACACCCTCTCCCTGGTCTAAAGCCTGCCTGGCTCCCTCGTGTTTGTGCCTCCTGAGCACCACTTAGTCTACGCATGATTATTGAGCCTAGAACTTATATTAGGACTATATTAGTCAAGCTAATCCTTCTGCGATTGTCACAGGAAGACTTGTTTCCCTTCTTGTATATGGGGATAATCAGTGACTTACACCAACCTGACGGGACTTTCTCTGATTCCCAGACGCTGCCTTAGTACCTCAGTTAATCCAGACAGTAAACTTTCTCCACCGTACTTAAATACCTCTGGAGTCATTCCATCAGGTCCTGCTGCTTTGCCTTGTTTCAGACTAGTGACAGCTTTAGTTACCTCAGTTAAGGACGGAGGGTCTGTGCCTATATCCCATTCAGGAAGGTGTTGGATAGTCGGCAGGTTGAGCGTGGCTGTAGCCCAATTAGACTGCTCCGCATAGTGTTCTTTCTAGCGTTCTAGTCGTCAATCAGATTGTTTCACTTATTATTTGCCTTTTACCACCTGTTTCCCTGATAAGCCTAAACAGTTGTCTGGTGTTACCGATTGCCGATACCTTTTCCATCTCTTTTGCTTTTGTCGCCCGCCACTGTTCACGGTCATTGCGAAGACTTCGTGTTAGTTTTTGTTTGAGTAGCTTTCGCTCCTCATCATAAACGGAGCTCGCCAGAATCAGTCTTCTTGCGTCAATCAGTTCGGATGAGGCAGCAGATATCCAATGGCTCTTACTAACTTTTGGTTTTAGCTTATTAACAGCTTTGACCGCTGTGTCTACAGCTAACCGTATGTTGTGCCAGGCCACATCAGGGGAAGTCCTGCTGTCGACCTCAGATACTCGTTTCGCTATTTCTTCCTTAAATAGGGACTCAGTGTCTCGATCTAGTTGGGGACGTAACTGTTTCGCTGACGTCAATTTTTTATGTCCGTTTAGTCGTAAGCATAAACGTCCGCGAACCAGAGCGTGATCAGAGTCTACACACGTGTCCCAGAAGGAGTGGCAGTCTCCTACTGACCCTCGACAACGATACCTTATCACTATGTGGTCTATCTGATTCCAAAGTTGATTTGGTGATGGGGGTCGCCAGCTTACACAATGTCTCTCTTTGTGCCTAAAGTTTGTGCTGACTAGGAACAGATGATTATCTGAGAAAAACTGTAGAAGACGATCACTGTTGTCGGTCCGTCGGCAGGGAACTTCATACGTACCACCTACATACTTCTCAGTCTGGAACAACTTCCCTACTTCGGCACTTAAGTCGCCTGCTAAAACAACTATGTCTAAACGTTTTGCTTTTCGCAGGAAATTAGACAGTTTCAGGTAGAAATCATCCTTTAGTTTATCCGAACTGCAGTCTATCGGGGCGTAGGCGGAGACTACGAAAAGGCAACGACGGGTAGCACCGTCTTTCCCTCTTTTAACGGACCCATTCAGACGGATCGCACACATACGACTATCTACTGGGATCCAGTCAAGAAGTGATTTTTCCGCCCTAACACTCAGTGCTATCCTTAACCCCTGCGAGTTCTCGCGAGCTAGCTGAGGGGTAAGGACTAAAGGACAGAATATTGATCAACGGATTATATGTCACATTATGATGTTTATGTTAGCCGGAGATGAAATGTCCTTCTTAACGCGTTTATATTCATATTTTCTGACATCACTTTGCTTACATATATATATATGGACAACCAGAGAGAGCTTTTGAGTTATGCCACTTCAACATATCAATGAAATTTCTTGCATAACTTTGAAGTCTATGTGCAGGTTTTACACAAGTGTGTATTACTTGAAGAAAAACCCACAACACTGACCTGTTGTGTTGTTTGATAACAAAATAGATTCAGAAAATCGCTAATTCTTAGGCGATAACTGTGAACACTTAATGTGCATCTCACACTCTGTATTGTGTGAGGAAAATTGATAGACACCCCCACCCCCGCTCACCTTTGGTAATGAATGAGTTACTGAAGGTAGAGAATCTGTATATATCTTTGAATAAGTCACTTAGAAGACAAATTTCGCGAGATGATATCAGAAAAGACACCTTCTGT